GGATTGAAGGGACAGGAGGCACGGGATGGGACGGGGAGAGCGGGACAGGGGGGATCGGAGGGGACAGAGGGGACGTGAGGGGTGTGTTGGGGCAGATGGGATGGGACAAGGGGGAGGTGGGAGGGGACAGAGGGGAGGGAGGGGATGGAACTGGGGAGGAGGACAAGGGGGATCGGAGGGGACAGAGGGGACAGGAGCGAGGGGATGGCACCGGCAGAGCAGGGCAAGGGGGATCAGAGCGGGCAGGGCACGGGACGGGAGGGACAGAGGGGATGGGACTGGATGGGGGACACAGGACGGGACAAGGAGAGAGCTCCAAGGTCCCCATGGGAGCCGTGGTCTCGCGAAGGGAGAGTTGTACACGAGGACAGGGCAGGGACAGGAACAGGGATGGGACAGGAGGGAAGGGATTCGATGGAGGGGACGGGATGAGGACAGAGATGGGATGGAGGGGACAGGACACGCTGGGGGACGGTGCAGCCACCCCCGCTGCTTGTGCCTGGTCCGAGGGGACGTTCCCAGCACACGCCGGACCCGGAGCCCTCCCGGAGGGGCCCGGCAGGAACTGGAGCTCTCACGGGGCTGGGAGGGACCGGGGACAGCATGGACACTCCGGGCCGGGTGGGTCCCTGTCCCCGCTGCCACACACACACTCACACACGCGCAGACAGGTGTCCCCGGGGCGCAGGGCAGGGGACAGGGCACCTGGGGTGTCCCCAACCCCTGACACCCCGCTGTGCCCCAGATCCGCCGGAGGAGGCCCACGCCGGCCATGCTCTTCCAGCTCTCCGAGCACTCCTCGCCAGGTGAGCGGGACACGGGTGGGACACGGGGCGGGGGACGTCTGATCTAAGGACGGGAGGTGGTGGCAGGGGTGGGACACGGTGACCTGCGTGTTATGGGATGTCTGGGATGGGACACGGCGGCAGGGGTGGGAAGCAGTGGCCCCTGAGGAATGGGATGTCCAGGGTGGGACATGGTGGCATGGAGGGCACGCGGTAGCGGGTGGGAGGAGGTGTCACCTGTGGAATATGATGTCTGGGACGGGACATGGTGGTGGGGAGGGGACAGGGTGCCACATACGGAATGGGGTGGCAGGGAGGGGACGCTGTGGCAGGATAACCCCTGCAGCAGAGGTTTGGGGGTGCCATCAGCCCCCCTCATACTCACCCCTCTCTCCCTGGCACCGCCAACCCAGAGGACGAGAACCTGCCCTACCAGGTGAGTGGGTACCCCCCTGACACAGCCTAATCCCCCTGTCCCCTGTCCCCCAGGGGGTTTATCAGGGCCCAGCCCTGGCGCCTGGTGCTTATCAGCTCCCTCCCGGCACGGGCACACAGTGCCAGCGCTGGGGACGGGGACATGGGACGGGGACACGGAGCCAAGCTAGGCTGTGGGGTTTGGCCACAGTGCAAGACGGCCCTGTGACCATCAGGGGGTCCCCAGTGCCATGTCCCCATGGAGGAGTCTCCACTATGGGGTCCCCAGTGCCACATCCTACAGCCGGGCCCCCAAACCCAAGGTGTCCATGGCCGGGGTCCCCACCAGAGGGGTCCCCAGCACCACGTCCCCATGGTGTGTGGGGGGGGCAGGGGGTGTCTGTCTGGGCGGGGGGGACACCAGGACTCCCCCATCCCAATGCTGCTGCCCCCACAGCGCTCCTCGGGCGAGGGCTGCCTGCTCAAACCAAAGAGGACCAACCCGTGTGCCTACACCCCACCCTCGCTCAAAGGTACCTCTGGGGGGACGCTGGGGGGGACACTGGGGGGGACAGGGGGGGCTGGGGTCCCAGTGACACCGGCGTGTCCCCAGCCGTGCAGCGCATCGTGCAGTCCCACCTGGAGGAGAGCGGCCTGGGCGGGGGGGACAGCTCTGACGGGGAGCCCGATGACGGCGAGCACGGCTGCGACCCCGACAGCGGCCTCGAGTCTGGTGAGGGGGGCACGGGGCTGGGGGAGCCTGGGGTGGTGCGGGGGGACACATGGGGATGGGGGTGCCACCCCCAGGGGATGTTGGGCTGTGGGGTTGGGGCTCCCCAAGCCCAGGGACACGGGGACAGGATTGGGGGAGAGCAGGGGGCACGCGGAGATGGGGATGGGGCTGATGGAGCGGGGACTGGGGCCACCGTCCCCTGCAGCCCTCAGGGGCCTGGGGGGGTGTGGGGAGGACACAAGACTGGCTGCTGCCGGTGCTGCCCGTCCCTGCTGCCCACTCGCCCAGTGATGGTGACAGGGCTGCACGTCCCCCCGCCGGGCCGTGTCCCCGTCCCCCGCGGGGCCGGGTGACGCCAGCGGGACCCCCGGCCGCGTGGTTGATGCGGCACCGGCGGTGCCCCCGGTGCCGGCCGTGCCCCTCCCTGCCCCTGCCTCATCCACCCCCGCCCGGGCAGCCCCGGGGAGCCAGGGCAGAGCCGAGAGGAGCTACTTCCCCGCCGGGCCCAAGGCGCACAAGCGGAAAGGTAACGGGATGGGGACGGAGGAGGGACGGGGATGGTGGGGGGACAAAGATGGGAATGGTGAGGGGATGGGGACGATGGGGGGACAGGAATGGAGATGGCAGGAAGATGGGGACAGCGGGAGGGACAGGGATGGCAAGGGGGTGGCAGGAGGATGGGCACGGTGGAGGGATAGGGGCGGGGGGGGGACGGGGGTGGCAGGAGGATGGGGACAGTGAGGGGACGGGATGGCGGAGGGGTGGGTGTGGCAGAGGGGCAAGGAGGTGGGGATGGCGGGAGGATTGGGATGGGGGTGGTGGGGGTACAGGGACCACGAGGGGCCGTGGCCATCCACCCACCCCGCTGCTGCATCCCTTTGGCTGGGAGTGCTGGGCGGGCACCGGCACTGGGGGCCCCGTCCCCCCTCCAGTGCTGCATGGGGGTCACTGACCTGGCCCCCCCCCAGGCGGGCAGAAGGTTTCCTTCGCCGGCGGCATTGACGAGCGCGAGGAGGACCTGAAGGCCCTGACGGTGTCCGAGATCCCCGAGGACCCCGAGGATGATGAGGCTGACGAGGAGGAGCCGGGGCAGGAGCAGGACGGTGGCACCGGGGGTACGTGGGGTGTGTCCCCCACCCTGTCCCCGGTGTCCCCGGTGCCGCCACGCCCTCACTGACCCCCCCGTTTGTCCCCAGAGCGGCGACACGTGGGCTTCTCCGAGGTGCCCCCGCGCCCCATCGGCACCGAGCGCCACTCGCCCACCTTCCCGCTGGGCACCAGTTAGCCGGCACCGGGACACTGGGACACTGGGACCCGGCCCCCCCCTGCCAGCAGACGCCTTCCCCCCGGCCCCAGCAGCTTCGCCTGTGCCCCTCCGGCCGCCCCCCCTGCCCGCTGCCTGCGCTTCGTCTGCCGTGTGCCGCGCCGTGCCGTGCCATGCCGGGCCAAACTGGGCCGTACTGGGCCGAACTGGGCCATGCCGGGCCATGCCAGGCCCCTCCCCACGCCCTCCCCACGGGCCTCGTGCCACCCCCCTGCTCCCCCCAACCCTGGCTGCCGGGGCAGGGGCTGGGGAGGG